TAATATATATATATATATATATATATATATATATATATATATATATATATATATATATATATATATAACTCTTCTTTTCCGTTACAAAATGATTTTGTCATGCTCAATTAATTAGGTCCTAATTATTATGAGAGAGAAGTTATTATGAGCTTTAAATTAATTGTAGATTTTTATTTTTGTTTTGTTTCTTAAGTAGATATGTCATAAATAAATATTAAGTCCTTTAAAAATTGAGACCTTATCAGGACTATGTAGTCTAATGGTATCCGGGTTGGACTTTCATTTGGAAGGTTGTGAGTTCGAGCCTCAATGGAGGCGTTATTAGCTCTTTGTGTTTCAATAGGTTGAGAAAGTATATGAACAGATATTACAATGTAATAGAGCTAGTAGCATTTAAAAAAAAAAAAAATTGAGACCTTGTTGCCTATCTTGCACACTCTAAAATTCAGCCATACTTTTTGTTAGCTTAAACAATAATTTGTCACAAACTAGACCACGGATCAGGGTCCAAAATGATATTCAAATAATGTGCATGCAGTAAATATATATATATTATGTATTTTCAGTTAACATATTATTCACCTATAAATAGATGGAAGGTGTATAATATGATAAACACAAACACAACTTATTATACAAGGTAAATAATTAAAGTTGATTACCTGATGGAGGACATAGGACGGTCCATGAACAGTATCAGGCATGAACGCCGACAAGAAAACGGCAACTGAAATCTTGCGAGGATAGTTTTCCATGGCGAGGGCGATGTTCATGCCACCGAGGCTGTGGCCCACCATGATAACTTTCTCGCCGTCGGGAAGCGCCGCCATGAACTCCAACAACGGCAACGTGTAGTCGCGCAGCGTGCGGAGGTGGTGGAGCTTTTTGGGGTTCACGCCGGAGGCGGCAAGGTCAAGTGCGGTGACTTTATGGCCGGCGATTTCCAGGAGGGGTTTCAGCTTGAACCAGCTCCAAGCCCCGTGACATGCGCCGTGAATGAGAACAAAGTGCTTTTGTTGCCTACAAGTTTTCACCATTTTTGTTTTTTTTTGGTTTAGGTGTGAGCTATAATGGTGTCTATATATATATATATATATATATATATATATATATATATATATATATATATATAGGGCTTGGCTTAGTAGTTTTGATTTTAATTTTTTATATTTCTTCTTTGGTTGATGTTGTCTATATATATAGGCATGTGCAAATGCAAGTGGCCTTGCAGTTTCGTTACGATTTTAGCCTTTTACTACCAAACAGGGAAATGAAAGGTTGAAAGGGAAACGTGGAAACTGGAAACTAATGGAAATGGCATCCAAATCTATAGTAGATATGACATCACAATTTTGTATTCATTGGCATACATAATTAGATGAAAATAAATATAAAGACAACTGTAAATAAATAAATAAATAATAAAGGTCAAATAGACAATTGAATAGAAGATACTGCAATTAGGCCACTGAATCTAAAAAAAAAAAAAAAAAAAAAAAAAAAAAAAACTAAATCTCTAAACTAATCCATTTTATGCAATTAATCTAATTTACAGGTTTTTAGGTTTCTAACAAGTCACTCCAAATTTCTTAAAAAAAAAAAATAGAGCTTTGTCATAGTCTCCGTCTCGACGAAGGTATCTTCTCTCTATCCTGCATACAGAAACCTGATCAAATTAAAAGCATTGACCAAACTCAACTGTTGCAAGCGTGGTTATGATGTTTTGAAATAAAATTGTTAAATAAGAGTATGGTTATGATGTTTTGAAATAAAATTGTTAAATACAGAGTACCTTCCAAACGAGATAATAATTGTAGCAACTAGTCAACTATGAAAACCAAAAGCACCATGTTTTTCATTTGAAATTTTCTACCTCATTTCCTCACACTTTTAGGAGCGATTTAGTGGCATTTTGTTAACTACCTTCGTGGCTTCAATCAGTAGCTAAATAATGCTGCTTCGATACTAACAACAACTTACTTAAATGACTGCAATTACCTGTATGTTAAGAATTTCGCAGCTTAATCCAATTTTTACGAAACGTAAAATGAATAAACATCTTGCGCTTAGAAGATAGAATCACGAAATATTGACTATTTGTGTTTCAGTAGGTTGAGAAAGTAGTTATAAACACAGGGGTGGATTTAGCATGGGTGCAGCTGCCCCCACTCACCCCACCCCACCCCATATATAGCCCTTGTATGTATATATAGTACATGGTTTACATATAGCTATTTGAAAACTGATTAAAGTAAACAATAGTTAAGTTGGACAAGTTGGTAAAGGTATGTCTGGACTTGAGAGATGTCTGTGGTTTGAATCATATTTCATTATGGCTTTTGGCTTTTATATATATAATTTATAATGTGTTTTTTATTTGAATTATTTTATCAAATTAATTATGTTTCATATTTTGTTATGAATATTTATATAAAGTTTTAATGTGTTTTATTTTTCATTTATATCCAACAATATTTATGACTATATTTCTTAAGTGTTTCATTGTTTTTCAAACTATAATGTTTTGCCCCCACTTACAATTTTTTTCTGGATCCGCCACTGTATAAACAGATAATGCATTGTAATAAAATCAATAGTACTCAAAAAAAAAAAAAAAAAAAAAAAGAAGCTTACACCTTTTCGTGGTTTAGAAATTCTAATTTTTAGTGGAGTTCACTTTTAATTTGAATTGGGTGGATTTAGGTTCTCTTATGTGTAAAAGGTTTAATTAGATGTATTATACACTCAAAATGAGTAATGAGTAAATAAAAAAATTAATTTAGGGTCCGTTTGAAAATCTGGAAAATGATTTTTCAGAAAATGCCTAATTTTTGTAAAAATATTTTAATTTGTTGGTGTTTGAGTGAATCTTTGAAAATTTTCTTTTCCTATTTGGCTAAGTGTTTAGCTGAGTGTGGTGTGGTGATGGTGTTGCTGGTGGCAGTGGTGGTTTGGTAGTAGTGGTGGTAATAATAGTAATAATAATCCAAAAATTAACTTTTAAAAAAAAAAAGAGCGAAGAGAGAGAAGGGAAATGAAGAATTCGAGAAATGTCTTCCGACTAAAAAATTAGGAAGACATTGTCCCCAAATTAAACTTTTTTCCGTTGATCAAAATGAATATTTTCATTTGACTTCATTTTCCTTGAATACCCAAACACTGAAAAATTTCGGAAGTCATTTTTCGATTTTTCAAACGAACCCTTAATGATTCTCAAGATGTACCCGTTTGAGTTGAAAAAAAAATGAAGTTGGAAGGCTTTTAAGTAGTTTTTGTCCAGCAGGGGTGGAGGTTCCTTACCAATCCCCAGTTTCTAGTTGCCAGGGTTTACAAGGCCAGGTATTACCCAAATTCTGATTTTTTGGGTGCCACAGTTGGTAATAATCCAAGTTTTTGTTGGAGGAGTATTATGGCCGCTCAGGACCTGATTTGTCGCAATATAAGGCATAGAATTGGGAACGGTGTTTCTACTTTAGTGTGGGGTGATCCGTGGTTGATCGGGGATTCTACTCCAAGAATTTTATCAGATAAGCCGCAACATTTGGGTGAGGTGAGAGTTTCTGGATTAATAGACCCAACATCCTTATCATGGGATGTCCCTTTGCTAAATGAGCTTTTCTCGCCCGGTGAAGTTGAGCGTATAACTAAGATACCGATTAGCCCAGCCTATGATGATTTGTGGTATTGGCATGGGGACCCTAGGGGGTTTACACAGTCAAGGGCGCTTACCGTGATTTGATGGAACCATAACTATACCCCCGAATGACTTCTCATCCTGGAACAGAATATGGAGTCTAAATGTGTGTGGAATATTTCAGGCTTAATGGTGCAGTGTACAATGGGAGATGGTTTTGGTGCATGGCTTGAGTCGTTGCTACGGAGTGTACTGTTGATGAGAATCATTTTACTGTTATGGTGGCTATCATGTATCATATTTGGTTGCAACGTAACTCAGTGGCATGGGATCATAAGGTGGGTCTCCCCCGGCATGTGCATGCGGCGGTCGTGGCATCGTTGGATGCGTGGCGTAAGGCGGCGGGAACACAACCTCTGCAGCATGAGGCGTCCGCATCAACAGAGGCAGCTGGGCAGTCCACGGGCCAGCTGTTCTGCTACTTCGACGCTGCCTATGTTGCGGCGAATGGTGAGGGTGCGTATGACCTTGTTCTTCAGCATGCGGGTGGCGAGTTTGTTGCGGCAAAGAATGGACCACTGCCACCATGTCTCGGACCTTTTATGGCGGAGTCTTATGCGTGCAAGGAAGCCCTATCTTGGCTACGGGAACGTGGGGTTATGGAGGTTGTGCTTCGGACGGATTGTTTGAACCTATGTCACGCCCTTTCTTCTTCAGCGGCGGAGTTTCGCTCTTATGATGGTGTAGTTGTTTCAGCATGTCGGGATTTAATGAGTCTTTTACATTCTTGTTCTATTGTTTACATTTCCCGTTCGTCTAATGTTTTAGCACATTCGTTAGCTCAGGCAGCCTTATCTCAGGCAAACTCTATGGCGTGGGAGGATGTTCCTCCTGCGTTTATTTTGGCTTTGGTTGATTAATTATAACAGCATTTACCTTTCAAAAAAAAAAGTAGTTTTTGCCCCACATAAAAAAAAAAAATTGCAAAATAATGATGGGGTTGATGGCACCCCGCCATGTGACCCTAGTGTTAAGTTTATCTCTTCTTTCAATAACATTAGTGTTAAGTTTGTTAGATGATCAGCGAATCGTGTTGCTCACCTGTTGACCCGGACTTCGAATTCTCATGCTAGTTAGGTGCTATGATCGAATTCATGACCCATCGCCGCATATTTTAGATTGTTTTACTGTTTAATAATAATTGAGTTTTCTTTGATTTTCAAAAAAAAAAAAAAAAAAAAAAAATCATAGCCAACTGCCATGTAGTGTAATGGCATCTCCATTATCAGAGGCAGAACCAAGATTAAATGATGTGGGGCAATTACGATTTAAGAGTGAATAATTCATTTAATATATTTCGACATAGATTATTACATTACAAATCTACTAAAATCGAGTAGCAGACTAATATTTTCTTTTTAATAATGTGACTGCTCATGATCTATATACATAATCACCTTATGATTTGGTTAATCTTAATTAATTCTTTGTTTCAAATTAATATCTATCTTATATATCTAATTCTTTGTTTATGTAATCACCATCTTCTTTGACTTAGAAGACCGAAGCTGTCATTAATGCAGTTATTAAAAGAATGTTGTTTGAAGAGAAATGAAAATGGCAAATTATGTTGTGCATCCTTGTGCACCATGCATGGTGCACACGGATGCAAAAACGGCATCGTTTTACTTTTAAAAAAAAATCATTTTCGATTATTGTTAATTACATAAACATATATATGTTCATAATTTTATAATTTCACATTCTGGATGTATAGTTATGAAATTATGGATGTGTAATTATGCATGCAATTCTGTATGTATAGTTATGAAGTTATAATTTCACATTCTGAATGTATAGTTATGAAGTTATGGATGTGTAGTTATGCATGCAATTCTGAATGTATAGTTATGAAGTTATGGATGTGTAGTTATGCAATTCTGGATTTATAGTTATGAAATTATGGATGTGTCGTTATGCAATTCTGGATTTATAGTTATGAAGTTATGGATGTGTAGTTTTGCAATTCTAAATATATAGTTATGAAGTTATGGATGTGTAGTTATACAATTCTGGATTTATATTTATGAAGTTATGGATGTGTAGTTATGCAATTCTGGATGTATAGTTATTAAGTTATGGATGTGTAGTTATGCAATTCTAGATTTATAGTTATGAAGTTATGGATGTGTAGTTATGCAATTATGGATGTATAGTTATGAAGTTATGAATGTGTAGTTATACAATTCTGATTTTTTTTTTTTAAGTCGGACATCACAACGACGTCGTTTTTGCAACCGTGTGCACCTAGAGAATATGAAATTTAGTCTGCAAAATAAAAAATTTGGAAGGGGAGGGGGCCAGGGCCCCTGCACCATAAAGGTGACTTCACTTTATCCGTTATTATTCTAAATGGATTGTCAGATTTTGATTTTTGGGCTAAAAATATTAAAAAAAAAAAAAGAAAGTATTAAAGAGATAGCGTTAGAAATCGATGGATAATAATGAAGGCAATTAGATAAAGTTACATACATTTTTGTATTTGGAACGAGAAAAGTATTAGCCAAATTTGGTCTAATTTTTTTTTAATGAAATGAGTATGACTGATAACTGATTCACGTCAAATAATACTTCATTTTTTATTGAACCTGATTAAAGACCAATTGCTATACCAATACGGCAATACCAATTCAACTTGAGTTGTACCTCTGTTTTGAAACAATAATTCCAGTATATATCTCGTGCAAGGTGATCCGAATAATCGAATATGATTGAACCAAGATAGAAGGCATATTTAGATGTGTTTTTTCTGACTTCAACATCTCTAATTCAATTATTGTCCGTATCTATTATCTACTATATATATATATATATATATATATATATAGGGACGCACTCAGGTGCGAATAAATGTCCAGGAAGGAAATGCGAACGAATCAGCGCGCGACACGTGTCCAGATCTAATAACTTAAAAAAAAAACGCGGTGGCATTTTCGTAAATAATTGAATATCGAAGTGCAAGTAAAATCTCTTATAAGTGCACCTATTTTCACCTATAAGTGCATGTAATTTTGCCTTGTTAGCATTCACTTTCCGCAACCATTCATGCACCTGGGTGTGCTTATAACTATATGTGCAACTATTTATCACTATAGGTGCAACTACTTATAACTATAGGTGCACCTACTTTCACCTATAAGTGCATGTAATTTTGCCTTGTTAACATTCATTGATCTGAGTTCAGCGGGTAGTATTACTCCTGAAAACCACTCGCAAACATTCATACACCTAGATGCAACTACTTATACCTATGTGTGCAACTACTTAGAACTATAGGTGCAACTACTTAGAACTATAGGTGCAACTAAGTATTGATGCTCAGTGTAAATTTTTACTTGCACCTATAATACATTTTACATGCACTTGTAATACATTTTACTTGCACTTCGATGTTCAATTATTTACGAAAATGCCACCGCGTTTTTTTTAAAAATCAGTGTTTCTCATCCATTAGATCTGGACACGTGGACGAACAGAATCCATTCTTATTTCGCGCCTGGGCGAGCCGTTCGCACCCGAGTGCAAGTCTATATATATATACTATACTAATAAGAGCCTAAGAGAGTTAGATCTATAATGGGTAGAAAAATGGCGGTCAAATTTTTTAATCAAATGAATGACTCAGATTGATCAGATTTTAAATTTTCCTTAAGATTTCTTAATTTATCCTTAATGAATATGATTGTCCGTTAACTTTTCCGTTAAATATTATCTTCTCCGTTAATTTCGGTTAGTTCACCGTTAACTTATTCATTGATTTCAATAAGAAAGGTCTTAGGTTCGAACCTCATCCCAGTCAAAGTTGGCATAAATATTAGTATTCTATTTTACTCTTATTAAATTAAATAATAATTTAGTAGCTACAACAAAAAATAATACATATGCATTTCTTTAATTTAGAATTATGTGTCTACAATGACTTTATTCAAAAAAAAGTATCCATTATCAATAAATTAAATAAGAGAAATAATTTCATTAGTTATATTGTCTTTATTTTTATCCAATATAAAAATTCTTTACATTCAAATTTATCAATTGATTATATTCGCTACATTGTCCCTACAATGTCTTTACTAAAAAAAAATTATTCATTATCAATAAATTAATTAAGAGACATAATTTTATTAGTTATATTGTCTTTATATTTCTCCAAGTAAAAATTCTTTACATTCAAATTCATCAATTGATTATTCACTACATTGTCTATTATCTTTTTTTGTGCACTATTTTTTAATTAAATATCAAAGTTATAATACAATATAATGTTATATATTTATTTACCAAGTATTTTATTAATACCATGAAAAAATTAAAAAAAAAATATAATTAAACCAATCATATTAACTACTTGAGGGATTTGTTGACAAAGAGAGTATTCAAATCACACAACAAATTGAAGTGGGAAACTACCTCGCAATGTCCTTGTTTGACAATCAGTAGTTAGCGGTTAGCGTTAACAGATTTGACCAGTTTATTATTGTTGGAAATTGGTGAATAAATCGATACACAATATATATATATATATATATATATATATATATATATATATATATATATATATATATATATATATATATATATATATACATATTTGTCCCGAAAAAAGGAATTTAATTTATAGAAAATTAAATCCAACCAATTTTGGTTCAAAACCAAAATTACATATATATACAATGTATATATATTAACCAACTAGGGATTTATTTTATCAAAATAATCCCACCACAACTAGTACAAAACTTGTACACGAGACTTAATTTCCACGAAATTAATCCCACCACAACTAGTACGAAACTAGTACAAGAGTTTAATCTTTCCGAGAATAAACCCACCACTTGGTCCGAAACCAAGAACAAAATAAAAGCAAGAACGGGTTTCTAACCTAAGGTTTTAACCCAACGCGAAGAAAGAAGAAGCATAGGAAGCCCGAGTCGTGTGTACACACACTCTCCTTAAAACCGATTCGCCACCTCCCGAGGGTGCTAGGATCGTCGTGGCGCCAGTCTCCCAGGATAAAATAGACTACAACTTTGGCGTTCGAGCACTCCAACCCAAAGTCCGGCGAACTAGAACACAAGTTGAGCACTCCGATGTTTTATGAAAGATGTTGGCAGAATTTCTTTTCAAAACATGAGATGAGAGTAGAGAGAAAATCAAAGGTTTTGAGAGTTTCAATCTTGAATGTTGTGTGTAAACATTCTGCCACCACCATAGCTATTCGTAGGGGAAATATGAATAAATAACATATTCATGGCACATAAACCACCATTAATCCAATTTAAAAATTGAATTAAAACGTTTGAAACGGTCATACTTATTATCGAAATAATATCAACGGTCACGAACTTAATACGCGATTAATTCGTATCGACCATAACGATCCGTTTCAAAATATCTGAGTGACCGAGAAGTCCGTACAAACCCGAAGGTTTAACGAATTGGGACCGGAAACCACACCCGAGTGATCCACAAGTACCGAAACGGTGCAGCACGAATCAATGCATATAACATTTGATTCGTGCACACCGAATCCACAACACGAAATGAGCTACTTTGGAATCCAAAGCTTAAGCTCAATTCATGCACAACTTTCGTCCATGCACAAAGCATAGCACGAAAGTTCATTTTTCCAATTCACTAATCAAGCTTTCAAAAGCTTAATTACTATGTTGCAACTTAACCTTTTTCCAATGCTAAATTAAAAGCATTCCTTCGTGAATGCTAAGTAATTAGCACCAAGATTAGTGCTAATTTTAATTAGCCACTAAACAATAGGTTTAAGTTGTCGAATTCTCTCAAATAGGTTCACTTTAAGAATCAATTTCTCATTCACCTATTACCCATTTTGAGCGTACATTATATCAAATTCTTCGTCTCACTACGAAGAACCCGAATCCACTTTGACCCGACCCAAATCGGAAGTGGACCCCACATATATTTGTACCATAAAATAATCACTCAAAATGTCATTTTAGCTAAAAATTCCAACAATTATATTAACATTTGGTAAAAAGATATTTGAAAAAATTAAGTGTTTAGATTAACATATAAAATGACATAAGGGTATACATATATTATAGCGACGAATTTATTTCGTTTTGTGACGGACATTTCCGTCTCTAGTTATAGCGGAGGAAAAAATTTTGGTCACTAAATTCTAGCGACGGGGTTTTTTGTGTATTGGACAAACTCTGTCGCTAACCACTTTAGCGAAGAATTTTCACTATTTAGCGACGGAATGTGTCCGTCGCTATTCCGATATTTTTTTGTAGTAATAATAATAATAGTTTAAGAAAATAATAATAATAATAACAATAATAATAATAATAATAATAATAATAATAATAATAATAATAATAATAGTTTAAGAAAATAATAATAATAATTTAATAAAAAAATAAAATTTAAAAAAAATATGTAGAGTCGAACGTTCGGTTCTTCTCAGTTTTGTCACTTTTCTCACATTGGTGGGAAAAGTGGCATGGGAGTCTTAAGACTCCTATCAAAGGAGCCTTAAGACTCTAATTTAAAAATTAAGTTTGCCCATCAATTGATGGGCAAGCAGTGAGACAGCGAAAATGGCTCTTGTTATTTAATGAGTCGAAACGGCTCTACAATAATTTTTTTTTAAATATATATATATATATATATATATATATATATATATATATATATATATATATATATATATATATATATATATATATATATATATATATATATATATATATATATTTGGGGAAATCATTCTCAAAAACACTAAGTGAAAATATTGTAAATTGCAATGTTTGTATTTTCAGTGGTTTGAAACAAATTGTTGCTTCAAACTATTGAATAACCAAACACTTTCTTTAGCATTTTGATCTTTGAGTTACATCATATTTACCAATCATCCAATATATTTGGGTTACATTATAATTAAAATTTTCAAATTTTTACCACATCTAAATTACTTAAATTAGGAATTTCTTTATCCATAGTAATTTATTGAACAATAATAAAATGGTTGAACTAAATGAACACCGAGCAAAACACCTAAAGGATTGGTACCGGTGATTCATTTGCAACAAAAATACTTGGTTACTATTTAAAAAAATAGTAACAATTATAATGAATCTCCTATATTACATTGTATTCATATACTATGAGTTACATATTTAAATAAACATATTCAACATTAAATTACTTTCTCAACATATTATAGTATCTGTTCAAACATACTTTCTCAACCTAATGAAACACAAAGAGTCAACAACGCCTCCACTAAGGCTCAATCTCATGACCTCCCACATGGGAGATGGTCACTACATGCCATCTGAGCATTAAATTACTTATGTATGAATTTCTCATATATAATCTTGCATTGATGTACTTTCAAATATTTATTCAATTATAAACATTGGACATTAACTCATTCGCGCAATGCGCGTGTAAAACTAGTATCCAATAAGTTTCACAACTTTATTAGTAGAGTAAAAAATGTCATCATTACTCGTACCTTTGACATATTTTAAAATTCGTTTTGCAGTAACCCAATGTGATTCCTTTGGTTCCTCCATGAATCTGCTAAGTATTCCAACTCCAAAAGAAATATTCTGCCTTGTTGCCACCATATACCTCAAACTCCCAATTAAGCTTTTATAAGTTGTCACATGCATTCACATTCTTACCACACTCATCTTTGGACACCTTTAACTTTTCAGCTACCGGAGTTGAAACTGGTTTAGAGTTTTTCATTTTGAACTTTTTCAAAATATCAGCGACATACTTCTTTTGTGAAATAAAAATTCCACCATCCATCTGAACAAACTCAAGGACTACAATAAAGTAACACATAAGGCACACATCAGTCATTTCAAATCTCTTAATGAGTGCCTTCCTGAATTATGAGATAAGCTACAAGTTATTCCCCATAAAAGCTAAATCATCAACATATAGACAGATTATAACAATATCACCAAAATCTGTGCATTTGACATACAAAGTGTGCTCATGAGGACATCTTATAAAATCACTTCCAACAAAATATAAATCAATGCAACCATACCATGCCCTAGACGTCTGCTTTAAGCCATATAAGGTTTTTCTCAACATGTACAATTTATGTTCCCTCCTTTCTTCACAAACCCTGCAGGTTGCTCAACATATATTTCTTCTTCAAGAAAACCATTCAAAAAAAGTAGACTTGACATCCATTTTATGCAATTTCCAATCATTTTGAGCAGCGAGAGCAGTGGCGGATCCAAAAAACTTTTTCAGTGGGGGCGAAGCGCATTAAAACAAAAGAGATAGTTTGATTAAAAAAAACACTTAAAAGTATAGCCATAAATATTGTTGGATGTGGACGAAAAATAAAACACATCAAAACTTTATAAAAATATTCATAATAAAATATGAAACATAATTAATTTGATAAAATAATTTGAATAAAAAAATACATTATAAACACATCTCATTATTAGTATAAAAGAAAGTTATATATGTGTGTGTGTAAATCTCACCATTAATTAATACAAAATATTTAAAAGTCATAAATTAATTGTGTCAGCACACACATTGCATTCGAACCCTAGCCTCTTTAAAAGCTGTGCCAAAATTATATTAAGGATTTAAACCCTAGCCTTTACAAAGATTACACACATGCTTCGCCGCCTAATCTAATCATCTCTTGTTAATTTTTATCTATTTTGTTATACTTATACTAAAACTTGTACTATATATACATATATACATACAAGGGTTATATATGGGATGGGAGAGGGGGGCAGCTGCCCCCACTTCTCCCATGCTGAATCCGTCCCTGAGCAAGAGAGAAATAACCATTCGAATTGTATCTATAATCTTTGATTTTCCTGTCAGCTTTCAAATTTTTCTCTTAAAAAATTGATTACAGACCAAAAAATTGAATTTTTTTACTTTAATAACTGAAACCGAACCAAAAACTAAAATATTCGGACAATTTGATTTTCGATCGTCAATTATCAGCCTATTTTTTTTGCTTACCCCTACAGCTTAGTACATAGAGAAGTGGCCGCCACACTTCTCTCGTTTTTTGAAAAAAAAAAAAAAATTCTTATTTCTTATTTTTAGATTTTTGGGTGAAACTCCACACTGACTGCTCGACTTTTCAGCACTATTTGTCCCTTGTCATAGGATCTTTTCGTTCTTACGTCGGTTGTGCTATTGATGGTTGCAGAACTTATAGTGCTTCTTTTACCTATTGCTCATTTAAGTTTATTACTAGATCAGTTAATTTAATAGTAGCTCATACATTTGCTTTTTTTAATTTTTGCTCAGACTATTACTATGTACTGGGATGCTATCCCATATGACTCTATTGGTGGTTATCTTTAATATATGCCGTTCATCGATTACTTTCAAAAAATAAAGATGTGGAAATAAATAAAATATTAAGTCTTAATATAAAAAAATAAATAAATAATTAGGTTCACAAATACTACGTATCTAAGATGCTCTGTTCCAAGAAAACATGTATGCACACAGCACACAATCGAGTTGACTGGTGAATGCTGTAGCTAGCATAAGTCTACACTCTACACCATGGTGTTTTCATTATTATTTCACTATACAAACAACATAATAGTTCCATGAGCTAATTTCATTTATGGTCCTAAATTTATAAGTGACAGTTTAATTATAGTGTTTTTTTTTTAAACATTTTTCTTTAATCTTAATATTATTATTATGGCATAATTATTTTTGGTCATCTATCAACAAAACAGTTTAAATGACGTTAAATACAACTAGTATTTTCACCCGTGCGATGCATGAAATGGAATTGTTGTAATATATTAAGAATATTTAAATCGATATATAATTATTTAAGAGTTAATTTCACCAGAGGTCGCTTATCTTTCTTAACAATTCCACATTTAATCCTAGACTATAGTTATTAATAATTAGATTTATTCTATGTTATAATTCTTATGTTAATATTCTTACTATTATTATTAACACTTAATTACTTTTAGATATTATTTTTACCACTTATATTATTATTATTATTATTTCTTTTCAAATTTTGTTAGTATATAATGGCCGTGAGGCACACAATAATAATATAACCATAATTAAATATTCTTGTATTGTATTTCGGGAGTCACAATAATAATATAACAATAATTAAATATTCTTCAATTCTATATTCTTCTAGGATTTCTATTAACATCATTAATTATTCCCAAATTTACCATAATTAAATAATTTGACCAATTATAAAGAGAGATTATTAAATAATGCACGGGACAATTTTTTAATTAAAAATTTTAAAAATTCATTAATAAAACATAAGGTTCTCATAGTTTTTTCTTAGAAACTATTTAATAAAGTATTTTTTTTTTTAGAAATTGGTGGGTCAAACCGCCTACGACTGTTTGCGGTGGATAGATCTTGAAAAAATACGCGATTTCAAAAAAACATTTGTCCAAAATGGACAACCGAGTCAAAAGTTATGCATTGCCGAACTTTTGACTCTTTACAACTTTAAAAAAAATAATAATAATAATAATCGCCAGTTCAGCCGGCGAGGCGCCTGCGGAGGAGGCCGATTCCGACCTTCCTCGCCGCGGCCAGCGGCCCGATTTTTGCAACACTGATATATAGTATAGATAGAATAGGAATAGTATTACACAATTTTATAATATTAGAATAGAATTTTAACCCAGAATTATTGTAGAAATCAATATATTTTATTGGGAAGAGAGATTTTTTAAGAATTGGGCGGGAAGTTAAAATTCCAGGATTTTGTTTTTATATATAGTATAGATGACAATAGGATACACTATTTTATAAAATTAGAATAGAATTTTAACCCAGAATTATTGTACGAATGGGAAAGTAGAAATCAATATATTTTATTGGGAAGAGAGATTTTTTAAGAATTGGGCGGGAAGTTAAAATTTCAGGATTTTGTTTTTATATATAGTATAGAAGTATAGATATAGATGACAATAGGAATTGTATTACACTATTTTATAATATTAGAATAGAATTTTAACCCAGAATTATTGTACGAATGAGAAAGTAGAAATCAATATATTTTATTGGGAAGAGAGATTTTTTAGGAATTGGGCGGGAAGTTAAAATTTCAAAATTTTGTTTTTAAATATAGTATAGATGACATTTCAGTCTTCAATTATTATTTTTTTCAAAAAAAAAAATAAACATAAAATATATAACAAGTCAATGCACTTTGTATTAAAAAAAAATCAAAATGTCCTTGTATTTAACTGCATTTCAACTATTGTTGATGGATGACAAAAAATGGTCATGCCACAATAATACTATGACCAAAATGAAATGTTCTAATACAAAAATATTAAATGGGACTGACACCTATAAATTTAGGACCAAAATGAAATTAACTCCAATCTTGTCATATATTAATTTATGTGAAGGCTACATACAGTGATGGTGTTTCGGCAAAGGCAAAAATTTGTATCTTAGGGGTGTGTTTGGTTCAAACATTGTAATCAAAATAGTAATATACATATATGTAAGAGTTATGTTATTCAGTTTCATTTTATACACACAATATATATGTTCATTTTATATATAGCAATACTGAAGTATCTTTTTTAATTCTACTATAAATTCATTTGATAATATACATATATGTAATGTGGTACACCATTGATTCACGATAATATTAGCCATTTCTTTTAATCAAAAGAAGCGATGACTTATTGCACCATGCTTCACACAACTATATGAACCATAATCCACTTTAGAACGATTGTAATAAGTAATAAGTACCTATCGTCCTATGAACTTCTATTATCCAAAAAGACACCTCTAAGAAAATATAGTACATTCAATGGGGCCAAAACACACTTAAAATCTTCAATAGATACAACAAGTAGTAAAAAGTATTACGGAGTATATTTATACCAAAAAATATTACACTTGTACTAAAAAGTAGTATATTTTTTTATTAAAAGACTTTTTTTTTTTTTTTGAAACACTAAAAAGTATAATTTACTCCTTATAAGTATTATATTTTTAGTGAAAAAATATTACACTTGTACTACATACATTGTAACAGAGGTAATAGTACTCAAACAAAATATATATTATATTTTAAATGAAAATGTAGTATTTATTCGTTATAAGTATTACATGTTTGTTCATTGAAAATAATACTTTTTTTTTCTTGTATAGTATTTCATTTATTTTTGAAAAGTATTATATTTTTCTTGTAAAGCATTATATTTTACTCTATAATATTAAATTTTCCTTGTGATGTACTATATTTTTTTTCCAAAAAGTATTATATTACAAAAAGTATTCCATTTTTTTGGTAATATATTGCATTTTCACTCAAAATTATTTTCTTTTTGAAAGAATATTACTTTTGTTTGAAAATGTATGATTATTTTTTAAAAATTTATTACATTTTTCTTATAAAGTTTTACATTTTTACTAAAACATATTAAAAAAAATTTAAGAAAAAAAAGAAGAAGAAGTACGGAGTAATATATTTTTCATGAAAATTGTTATATTTTTGTTCTAAATTATTAAATTTTTCTTTAAAAGCTAGTATTACATTTCCTAGGCAAAATATTACGGAGTATATTTTTGTTAAATAAAATACTATATATTTCTTATAAAGTACGTATTATATTGTACGTCACTAAAAATATTATTTTTATTTGTAATATATTACTCCGTATATTTTTAATAAAAATATTATATTTTTCAATGTTGCAAAATACGTTAGGCGCCCGATTAATTTTTATTTTATTATTATTGTTTTTAATTTAAAAAAAATTAACTAAAAATTATAAAAATTCACTAATAAAACATAAGGTTTTCATAGTTTTTTCTTACAAACTATTTATTTAAGTGGCTATAAAATTGTTCAAAATATTGTTGAAACCATCTAAATACATAAAAAATAAATAAATAAATAAATAAATAAAACTAAAATTAAAACCAAAAAATCATTTATTTGAGAAATTTGAAAAAAAAACTTGTCCAAAACGAATAACCGAGTCAAAAGTTATGCCTTGCCAAACTTTCTACAAAATATTAAAAAAAAAAAAAAAAAAAAACGCCGGTTCAGCCGGCTAGGCGGCCGGCGGCGCCTAGGCGTAATTTTTACAACACTGATATTTTTATCTAAAAAGTTTTGTAATTTTGTTTAAAAAAATTACATTTTTATTAAAAAAATTTACATTTTTGTAACATATTACATTTTTACTAAAAAAAAAATTATAAAATTGTTAAAAGATTATTATAATTTTATTAAAAAAGTATTTTTTTTTGCTTGTAAACTATTATTACGTGTTAAAAATTAGGAAAATACTTGGTGTACTTCCATTTTATTCTCCCAATTTGTACTTCCTCTCACATGTTCTTGATGTAGACATTTTTTTGTGGATCCACATGATGAAAATAACCAATCCTTGTTTGCCACCTCAAGGAGTATAAGTAAGAGAGTAGAATTTGAGAGTACGTATAGTAGAACTAAAAAATTATTATATTCGAGTTGACTTGGGATAGTTTAGATGGCACTGAGTCTACGCCAAGGTGTTTTCATTCTTTCACTACAACCTGCCCCACGTACAATACATTAATTTAAGCATTTAACGTGTGCAGAGAGCGACATTTTTTTTATTTTTTTCCTCCAATTGCTTTTCGTTTAGTTTCATTTTCAGTCGTACATGCGACGTCGCGTCATATATATATATATATATATATATATATATATATATATATATATATATATATATATATATATATATATATATAATGTGATATTGATGTGGAGACAATATATTCGTGATGTTTTGTCAAAAGGTAAAGGCTTTGTTTGTCAATCAGTGTATAGCGATTAGCGGATACCGAGTTTGATTAAGGGATTGTATTAGTAGTTTGTAAAGAAATATTTAGTAAAATTAGTTAGTTGTTTATTATTAAAAGCATTTTGGAGGAAAAAAAACATCTCTTACCCCAAAATGCCAAATCTCAAACCATGCAATTTGCATCGTTTGTGTTTCAACCGTTCGGAACAAAAATGTTACTTCGAATCGTTGTTTTAGCTAATAAAAGTTTTGAAATTTAACTAAGTCAAAATGTCAAAGTTAACGAATACTCCATTTGTGTGATTAAAGATATATAAATGGAAGGCCAAAATTTAGTGTGATTAAAATATCCACTTAGTATCAAGTGGTTTGTAGTCCACTGGTATCGAATTGCTTTCTTAAGTGGGAGGTGTAAGGTTCAAACCTTAGTTGAGGCAATAGTGTGTATATGTAGGGTATCCCTTTCCTTATAATAAAAAAAAAAAAATATCCACTTAGTAATTAAAAATTGTAAGGATTTGTGCCCAAAATTAAAACCACGTTTGCACGCTTAGCAACCAGCCAAACTATAACTATTATGAATCAATTTTTTTACAAGTTATTTATTTATATTTAATATATTCATGTAGACTTTTATTGTACAAGAAGACACCACCAATAAATATAGTACGTTCAATGGGGCCAAAACACACTACCTAAAATCTTCAATAGATACAACATGTTTCTGATACAAAATTAATTTTTCTCATCAAAAGAATTTTGATTTTAAACCAAAGATTTCATTAAAAATAATATTTTTCAATTTTACACTAGAAACTACTATTTTTAAATTAATACATATTACATTTAAACAAAAAGTTAATATTTAATGTAATAAATTAGTATTTTAAAATTAAGTACACAATATTACTTTCATACAAAAAATTAATAGTTTTAAAATAATAAATATATCACTTTTATAGAAAAGTATGTATTACTTTTCTTTTTTTTTTTTAAATACATCTTTCATTAAAAAATTATTATATTTTCACTGAAAATATTTGTATTTTCTCAAAAAGCATTACATGTTCATTAGAAGGTATTAGCATTTTCACTAAAACAAATTGCTTGTTCTTTTGAATTTAATATTTTTTTTTAATACTATTATTGATTCTATTGTTGGTTCTTTTGTACTTTCTTTATTTGTTGCAGAACAAAGAGCCAATACCCCACCATAGGAGTTCATTTTTGCGACCTTTCCTCAAGAAGAACTAAAGATGTGTCAACTAAGTACAAGGTGCTTGTCTTGCATGAAATTTAATATACTTTCATTGAAAAGACTAATAATTTTAAAGAATAAATAATTCTTTTCAATATACTTCCATTTGAAAAGAATTATTTATTCTTTAAAATTATTAGTCTTTTATTTAAAAGAATTGTGTTTTCGTTTGAAACATGTTACATGTTCGTTGCAAAGTATTACGCTTTCATTGAAAAATATTATTTATGTATTATATTTTTGCTAAAAAAATTATTACTTTTTTCTTGAAAAGTATTACATATTAATTGTTAGAAAGTATAACATTTTCATTGAAAAGTAATATTTAGTTTCTTGCAAAGTATCACATTTTACTATATATTTTTTTTCATTTTCCTTGTGAAGTATTATATTTTTCTTGAAAAGTATCACACTTTAAAAGTATAAAATTTTCCGTATGAAATATTATATTTTACTAAAAAATATTACTTTTTTAGATATAGAATACTACATTTTTTGTAAAGTATTACATTTTTACTAAAAACTATTAATTAATTTTCTTAAAAATTATTACATTTTCACTGAAAAATATTATTATTTTCCTTGTAAAGTATTTTATTTTTCTTGAAAAATATTTCATTTTTTCTTGTAATAAATCATTACATTTTTCTTAAAATTATTACATTTTTCATGTAAATAATTATATTTTTACTAAAAAGTATTGTTTTTTCTTAAAAAGTACTCCACCAATCCAATTTTATGTCTGGTTCATTTAACAAGACTCGACTAAAGTTATTTACAAATCAAATTTAATGTTAAGTTTAGTATTAGCATAAAAATTTTATATATTTTGAAACTATAATAAAATGTACTATTAAACACACACAAAATAATTTAAAAATTATTAAAAGATATTAACAAAAATAAGCAAAGACAGAAAGGGTTGATTTGACAAAAGAACAATACACATAATAGATAAAATAGGTCAAAAAAGTATTATTTTTTTCCTTGTAAAGTATGTATTACATTTTCACTAAAAGTATTATTGTTACGTTGTTTCCAAAGTTTTTTATTTTCACTAAAAAGTATTACATTTTATTCGTCAATATTACTTTTTTTTTTCTTGAATTTTTTTACATGATCTTTGGAAATTATTACATTTTTTTATATTTAAAAGTATTACTTTAGTTTGTAAAGTATTTCATTTTCACTAAAAGGTTTTACGCTCTTTTCTTAACAATATTACTTTTTTGTACCACTCTCATTGAATCTTACTCTGTAATTAAACTTTCTATAATTGCTGTAATAAATCACTATTATTTTCATATTATATATTAGATCACGTGAATATGTTCCGATTCAAAACTAAATTATACATTTATGTGTACAAAAAGTCCAATTCAAATTTATACTCCAATGTTCATGAATCAAACTTATACCCTATTGTTAATAACAAATCTTAATTCTCATTCACGTACTAGACTAATCCTTAGTCACCTTATATTTCACATATAAACTACATGTTCATGATATCTACAATTATAATAAGAGCCAATAATGTTAGATCCTTAATTAGAATAAAAAAAATATCGGTACTACTTGTTTATTAAAATGAATGGTTCATAGTATTTTGATTTTAGTATTTTTAATGATTTTTCTTATTTACCCTTTATTATATTATTTTCTTTCCTTAAATAACCTTAAATTCCGTTAGTATAAACTTTTTTTTGAAAGCCGTTAGTATAAACTTTATTAACGGAATATTTCGTTAACTATTTATTATTCTTAACTTACTCATCAATTTCTATAAAAAAAGGTCTTAGGTTCGAACCTCATTCCAATTAGAATTAGCATAATTGTTAAACATATACTACGAATATGTTAAAATGTATTAAAAAATAAAATATAAAATTTAACATAAACTTTGGTCAAATAATTAGCCCGACTAAATACATAGCATTCAATGATTATAAATCAGGAACTTTGATAATCATTTGATTTTCTTTCATTAAAAAAATAATAAATTTAAGTTCAGTTTTTTTTTTTCGTTTAATTAATATTCTTTTGATTATTGAGAACAAAACTTAATATTTCAATTATGCTTTTATCAATGCATGAAAACTTCCAAAGAAATTTGTAAGTTAATTTTTACTATATTATTATAACAATATCTATTGTAACCTTATATTTTGAATTATTTATTATCATCATCTATTGATAGCAATTATCATTGACAAATTAAACTCTCAAAACTATTTGTTCAACAACGAATGGAAATTTAAAAAAAAAAAATCAATGATTTCATTATTGTGGATGAAAAGTATGTACGCCACTTTATTCAATCGTTATGCCGTGGAACTGTGTCCACCTTGCAATGTGGACACAGTTCTATGTTCATAATTACTGAACTATATGTTCATAATTATAAAGCTATATATTCATAATTTTTTAACTTCATATTCATAATTATTGAACTCTATATTCACAATTACAGAACTCTATGTTCATAATTATTAAACTATATGTTCATAATTATAAAGCTATATATTCATAATTTTTTAACTTCATATTCACAATTATTGAATCTCTATATTCATAATTACAGAACTATATGTTCATAATTATGTTCACAACTTTATGTTCATAATTATAGAACTATGTGTTCATAATTTTTGAACTATATATTCATAATTATGAACAATTTTAGAACTGTGTCCACCTTTGTCCACCTTGCAAGGTGGACACGGTTCCACATAATAACTTTCTCACTTTATTGCTCTTATTACTTAAATTAAAAAATAAATTAGTAGCTACAACAAAAAATAATATATATGCATTTAATTAATTTAGAATCAGATGTCTCACAACATATTAAACATGTAGGGAAAACTACCACTACCAAATATCAACATGTGCTTGTAAGATAAAAAGTTTATAGCACAACTAAGATCTCAGTCATATACACAACAAGACAAATCTAAAACTTCATACACCATAATCTCATTGCATGGTGAATCCCTCTATGATACTACCAATAAACCAATTGCACATGACATACTACCAATAACAAAAAAAAAAAAAAAAAAAGAAAAAAAAAAGAGACATGTACTGAAAATGAAAACAATAACAATGCTACCTAAAAGAGAATTAGAAACATTTAAACCAAAAATGGTATTTATTTAGACTATCGTTTTTAGACTTAGTACTTAGATTAACGTTATTACAAAGTTGCAAACATTTATTTTGTGACAGTTATATATAATCAATCTCTCATATATTATCTTGCATTTATATACTTTAAATTACCGATTTAAATAAACAAATTCAACATTTATTTACCTACGCATGAACATCTTCTATATAATATTGCATTGATATACTTTGAAATACTTATTTAAAAGTAAGTATTGGGCATTATCCTATTCACGCAAAGCGCGTAGGAAAACTAGTTATTACATATATACAAACTTCATACCAAAATAAATTCTGGGCTTACATCAATAAGCCCACAAACTAGACTGTTTATATCCTACACCACGGCGCGTGTTGCACTATGCGCCCAGATGTAAAACGACGTCGTTTTAATTTTTTTTTTTTTTTTTTTTTTTTTTTTTTGAAATTTCTCGTCCCAGTGAATGGCAGTAGTTTTTTCTTTAAAAAAAAAAAAACCGTTGTTCAAGAATGTACATAATGTTATACTAGAATACACATAATTGTATACATGAATGTACATAATTATATAACAAAATATACATACTCTTTTTAAAAGATAATACACATAATCTAACATAATACATAATAAACATAAACTTTTAACATAATACACATCAACTATTAACATAATACACACAAATTTTCTGATTCGGATGTACATAATTGTATAAAAAGAATGTACATAAGTGTATAAAAAATGTACATAACTGTAAGAACCAATACACATAACTGTATGAACAAATACACATAACTGTATGAACAAATACACATAACTGTATGAACAAATACACATAACTGTGTGAACAAATACACATAACTGTGTGAACAAATACACATAATCCCAGCAACTTCCTACCGAGCCTCCCAAAACGATGTCGTACATCGTTTTGGGAGGCGCGCGGCGCACAGTGCTATGTGCACAGTGGTGTAGGGTATAACGATTGCCTCTTTGATAGTTTGATTTACGGCCATGGCGGTCCCAGAATTTGGGTACCTTCAAAATTTCCTCTTTTTATTAATACTCAAACCTAGAACCGCTAAAAGCCTAAAAGTATAATGGTATGTCAATTGGAGTACCCCACCTTGCTCTTGGTCTGCAATTCCTACGGGGGGAGAAGATGGAATATGAGATTTTGAGAAGAGTTAATTTCCAATTTTTTTGAGTATTATTGACCATGTTACATGTAGTATCTGTTCATATCATGGTTGCAGTAGGCACTAGGCGGGTGCCTAGCCGGAATCTAGGTGGGCACCCAAAAAAAATAGTGACAGACTTGTAGTTTAACAATTTTAATGAGGCGTTTTTAACATTCAATCAAATAACACATCCAAATAAATGAAATAATGATAATTTATAAGTCATAACATCTGAAATAATGATAATTTATAAGTTATAACATCATAATAATATTAAAGTCAATAATTAATGAAAGACAACAACGGACGAAATCGGGCGTCTCAACCGAGTTTTACAACACTGGTTGATATATACTTTTTCAATCTACTGAAGCCCAACCAGTCAATACCGCCTCCACTAAGGCTCGAACCCATACTAACCCATGACCTCCCATTCATAGTGACTAATCCGGCCTCTCGCTGAATTGTAGGCACCTCTTTTGGGGATTTAAGGCTGCTCCATTTCCAAAGCCAAAGATCGAACTCTTGACCTTTGATTAAGGATGGATGAGTCCCTTTCACTCAACCACACTCTCCAGGTTCCTCCCATTTGGATTATAATGACACTTTCGAATCTAATTTTTGACTAATAATTTAATATAATTTTTAAATTAATTGTAGTAATGTAACGGTTGATTAACAAAAATAAGAAATACTAACAATGACAGAAAGTAAAGAAAACAAGATTTACGTGGTCCGGTAATGTGTCTACGTTCACAGGAGTAAAGCTATTATTTTATTAATTAATTGTGATATTGATAATCCACCTATCTATACAACCAATGTATTTATATGCATCTTCCCGTACAATGGGTCCGACCTAATCCGCTACACTCTATACCTTATATAAGACAAATTCTTATTCCTTATATGAGACACTCAACAAATCACCACATTGGCAAATATGCATATACCCATAGGTCGAGACAACTATACTCATCTAGCATCTGAAAACACCCAATAAGCCTAAACAATGTTTGAACTTGTCCTTTGTCAACATGTCTGTTGCGTTCTCATTTGTATGAATTTTTTGCAACAAAATCTCACTAGAAGCAACTAACTCTTTAACCTTATGAAACCTTACAGTAATATGCTTGGTTCTAGCATGATATACTTGATTTTTAGCTTAAAAAAAATGATACTCTAACTATCACAATGTAACTGAACTTCACCTTGCTCAATACCCAATTCTCAAAATGGATAATGTGTAAATGAAAAAATTGATTCTCAAAATATATCCACTTGAATAGGGATAAAAGGAGTTGGGAAGCTTTTGAAGGAGCCTTTATCCCACATTAAAAAATAGAAGTTGTTTTGCACTACATATACAATTATTTTTTAGAAGGAGTTTGAATTGTATAGCATAAAAACTCTCTCACACGCAGAGAGGTGTAGCTTGAGCTTCGCTCAAATATCAAATGAGTTTGACAAGGCTTGACTTGCACTGTCTATTTTAAACTAACGCTACAAGCCTACAACGCAAACTTTCGTTTAAGTTGATATATTTGCAGAATTCGAACCCTTTTTTTATATTTATTTTTTATAAATAAATTGATTTATCAACTTATACTCTCTTACATATATTGCTACCCCAGCTTATATATCCCACCGTCGCCCCTATCTACTTATCCTCGCATTATCACTATCACTCCTATTATATATTTATACACTTACCACTTCATACATTCAATATTATCTTTTCTTACTTTACCTACCATCATCTATATATCTATCTATTGCTCATTTACTTATCTCAATATAACATATGGATATGCATTTAGAATTATATGTTATTCAACGAATTGATTTAAATTTAAATTTAAAGGCTAAAGTGTCATCCCGCACCATGAACTATATCAGATTGTTCATGTCGCACCCTGAACTTTCATAACGTACATTTAGATCCACAAACTATTATTTTTTTTTTCACCTAGGACTTTTTAAAGGTTATCTACAAGTTGCAGGTAATAATATGTTGACATGGATTTTTTTTTTTTTTTTTTTCTCTTCTAGCACCTTGGTCATTCTCTACAGCTTTGCGTTTGGACATTCACTTCCCCGGCATTTTCAATGAAGAAAACAATCAAGCTCCATCTTTCTCTGTTTAAAAAATAACCAATTAAGTGGTCGTGGCTGGATGGAGAAACACCGGCGACAACAAATGAAATTTCTTTTTGATCAATTCATCGGCGGTCGCCGCCCTGTCTCTTGCAAGCTCCGAGGTAATATATATTACATTTCATGTCCCTCTCATCTCTTCCATTCCTCCATCATATATATATGTGTGTGTGTGTGTGAGTGTGTGTGTGTCGTTTAACCTTTTCATTTTCATAAATATTATATTATATTCGAAAAATCAAAATTTTCGAAACAAGTTCTCCACCGTTCACTCACTCTCCGCTTTCGAAGACCGCCGCGGATGGAGGCGCCGTGGTTCACCGTTCGGAGCAACTTATTCGCTTCACCTTCACCCTTCAACTTAATATATATACACTTGTGATGGGTGTGTAGTATATAGTGGTATTGCTGTAAGTGAAATTTTGTTCTCTGAATATGAATCCAATCTTACATATGCTTTGTTTCAAACTACATTTCTTATTCAATCCCAAAATATATATATGGGTATATATATTATCAGTTTCTCAGCCTCTCAATCTTCTTGGGGCGAGGCAAGTTTCATCCTTAATACATTATTTTCAGGACCTTTTAGCAATCAATATAAGCGAAGAGCAGGGATACTCTCTGAGCAGCGAAGAGAAGAGGAAGGAGAGAAATTAAATGTTCATCTGCTAGGCGTAGTTGGGCTGGCGACGGAGTTGGGAGCAACGGGGCTGCTGTAAACGTAGATAGTAGTACATGTGGATGCCTGGGATTTTTATTTTTTTATTTTTTTAATAGAAACAATAATGCAATTAAGGGCCACGCATAAAAATCCATTCATAAGTAAAAAATTAAGAAACTGAGAAAGAGGAGTGATATAATACTTCTGATTTTAGTTATTTATAATAAAATTTGGGGTTGACTTAAAAAAGAAGATCCACATAAGCTAATAACCTTTGCCATGTCATCATAGTAACCTAGAAACCTTTAAAAAGTTCTAGGTGAAAGAAAAATAATAGTTTGTGGATCTAAATATATGTTATGAAAGTTCAGGGTGCGGCATGAACAATCTGATGTAGTTCATGGTGCGGGATGACACTTTAGCCAAATTTAAATGAACTTGTTAGGTCTTCAAATATCATAAATATGTTAGATAGTGGGTGTAAAAATTTAAACATATTACTCAAAATTTTAAATGTTCTAAATAAAATTTTGATATCAACAACCTGGACATATTCTTACTTATATCTAGGGGCGGAGTCAGAATTTTTGATCGGTGGGGCAGAAAAAAAGATATTTTGAAAAAAAAAAAAAATGAAACACTTAAGTTATCTATAAATATT